TCGTCGTAGTAGCTGCGGCCGGGTGTTGACGGTGGTCCACGAAACATTGCTCTCTAGTCGCAAGTTTACCTGGGTACGCGGTGGAACAGGCGAACAGGGATCCAAAACCAAGGTATTTTCTCCACTTAATTTCCCAGTCCACACGTTGCGCCGCACATGCGCCGTAATGAATTATTTCGCGTGGTGAAGGGATTTGATTGTTCTCGGTCTAGCTACTGTCGCGGTCGCAAAACATAAACTCTGGACAAGCTCCAGCGACGCGCTCGGCTTGGCGCGTCCGCGGGCCGGCATCCGGCGAAACCTTCCCCCGGCTTCACAAAGTGCGCGCGCCGTGCAAGAGCGGCACCTGCGTCCATGGATGTCTTGCTCGCAGCTTGCTTTTAGATTGCAGACCCGCCCGGCTATCTAGACTCGACGACACGTGCGCATGATTCACGACGCATGCCTAGTTCATCCCGCTTGTCTTGACTTTTGGTTTTTTCTGCTCGTTCCTGGTGGCGGCGCCTTGAAAGCGTGCCTTCGCAACGAATCAGGCGGCGTGCATACCCCGAGATGGTGTGGCTGCCACCCGTGTTCAACCCCGCTACGGGCTGTTTCTGGTAAATCAATATCCCATCACCCTCACTAAGTCTTTTGTCGAGTCGTGGAGCGCAGGGGTCAAATCACTTGGTAATGCCTAGGGTTCCTTATTAAGGTACCCGATGCTAGACTGCGCCGTCGCCAGCCTCCGCCAGCATTAGCCTACAGCTGACGTACCGTGCGACTCAAAAACGGTTGGAGCCCGCTGGTCGACCACACCCGCTGCTTCCGTCGCCTGACCCTACTCTTTGCCTTTTCTCGTGCGCGTTGTCCTACTTGAATGCTTCTCATCTCTAATGTGTAATGCTGCTTGCTGCGCACTCATACCCCTCGGCCCACCTCTGACGTAGTGCTGCCCGTCGATAGCCCGCCATCATGGCGCTCTGGTCCACCGCGAAGACGCAGTCAAAGCAAGGTTTCGACAAGGTCTACACGTGGGTTGACAAGCTCGGTGCCCCCGTCAATCGACTGTCCAACAAGGTCGGCTCTGAAGCCTTCTGGCCTACGACGCTAGACATCGAGTCGGACAAGGCTGCGAGGATCCTCAAAAGCTTCTGCAGTACGTCAACTTCCGATGCGTCCCGCCAAGTACTAACACGCCCGCAGAGGATGGTTTCTACCAGGAAGAAGACCGACCCATCGCCACCGACGTCCCCAAGGGAAAACAACGAGTCCTCAAGAAGATACCCTCCAAGGTCATCCAGAATGCCAAAGGCCTATGCATATTCACCACCATGCGGTCCGGCCTTTGGGTCTCCGGATCTGGCGGAGCCGGCATATTGGTCGCACGCAAGGCCGATGGAACATGGTCACCCCCGTCAGGCATCATGATGCACACTGTGGGTGTAGGCTTCCTCGTAGGCGTAGACATCTACGACTGCGTGATTGTCATCAACTCCGACAAGGCCATGGAGGCTTTCCAGTCCATCCGCTGCACATTGGGAGGTGAAATCAGTGCAGTCGCAGGCCCAGCCGGCGTTGGCGGTATACTGGATTCGGAGATCCACAAGCGACAGTCACCACTATTCACGTATATCAAATCGCGAGGATTCTATGCTGGCCTCCAACTAGACGGAACTATCATCATCGAGCGAACAGACGAGAACGAACGGTTTTACGGCGAACGCATAGGAGTCAAAGACATTTTGGCAGGCAAAGTGAGGCACCCGCCTTACGAGATAAGGAGACTCATGGAGACTCTGAAATCAGCTCAAGGCGATACGGACGTGGACGAGACTTTGATACCAGACGAGGCGACACCTGGCGACTTTGAGATTACAGGTCCGGAAGACAAGACATTTGGTATTCCAGACGCTGTTGACCCCGACCCGTATGGCGTACTGGCATTACAAGAAGCTGGTCTAGAGATCAGGGAAGCAGGCACACACAGCCGTCCGGCAAGTGAACAATTCGAGTTCAAGCCGAGCCCCACAAGCCCCATCTACAACACTTTCAGAAATTCCACATTCCGGAGAAGCATGGACCGCTCGAGCTATGCTGGCAGTCGGCCAACGAGTTGGCGCACAAGCACCATCAGCGGCGTATTGGAACCCCGGACGCCAACAGTTGACATGAGCACCCAGACCGACGATCTACCGCCACCACCTCCAACCATCAGGAAGTCACCCCCCACGCTACCGCCAAGAACAAGCGTCGCACGCACACCTACTCCTCCCATAGTGGAAGTACCCGAAACCAGGGTCGAGCAAGCTACTCCGCCACGAGCAAGGAGCGTAGACAGACAGGCCGAAGAAGCAACACCTACCGCTGCAGGAACAAAGACAGACAAAGCTGCCGGCCCAAAGTCCGACGGCTCTCCTCGGAACTCCATAGCCACTGAAGAGGCTCATGATTCCGAGTCAAGTTCCGATTCGGAATCAGACGAAGAGGAGGAGGAAGATGAGTTTGAGGAAGAGCCAATCGTCCACGAGATCCACCAGGCCGCTGCTCCACAAGCCATTCGCGCACGCGTCGTCCAAGTTGCCAAGCCAATGCCTCCTGCTCTACCGGTCAGAAATCCATTCCGCAACCGTGTCTCAACGAACTCAGACGGCTCCCTGAACTCTCCAACCGTACCGAAGCATAGCCCAGAATCAACCCCCTCGCTTATGCGCGGTGATTCAACTTCATCTCTGTCTTCCGTAGAAGACAACAGACTCGAGCAGATTGGCAACAGGCTCAAGCCCAAGTATTCTCACGAGCCGTCACCTGATGACGAGAAGAAGGACGACAAGGACGACGCCTTCCACTCGCTTCCAGAGTCCCCGATGAAGAGCATCCCAGGAGGTTTCAACTGAGCGACCGAAGTCTAACTTCCAATCGACTTCCGCCTCTCTCTACACCGCTCTTTCGCTGCAGATATAGAGCTGGGATGACCATCTCATCCTAGACTACACCCTCACAGATTACGCTTACAAACTGGCGTTGCGACCCTAAGTGCATGATTACTGCGTCTTGCCACTTGCTTATTCGGCTTGGCCAAAACGCAACCATGCCCGGTCGATCACCACACCCTGATAGGAGACAGCCTTTCACCGTCGTTACGAATTATGATTCCCATTGATATCCACTTTATTGCTTTACTTGCCCTGCTCACGCGTGGCTCGCCATAGCATCTGCATGTATCTAGTGTCATTTCAAAACCGCAATTCGTTTGCTTGCATACCGATAGTCACCATATACGAATATTATGTCTAATTCGAATCAGCATATGTCTGGCATTGTTCAAGCGTGATTTATAATAATTTCATGGCTCATCTGGAAGGCAGTGAGAGCGTGGGCGGCCGGCTGCGCTAACGCGGCCGTGACACCCCTGCCAAAATTTCGTGAACGGAATTCCACCACGAGCTCGACTTGCGCGGACACACAAACCTCCACACCAGCATTTGCACCCTCAAGTACTGAGTCGACGCGCTTCTTACATATTGCGCCCGAAGCGATCTGTAGAAGGTCTCACACCAAGTCCTCTCGAAGGCCGACCGACACTACTTCCAACCACACAGCGCCCCCGTCGCAACCCACACCCGCAATGGCACCCGAAGCGCCGCCAAAGACGAAGAAGTCTAAAGCAACGCCGAAAACAGTCGCCGACTTCACCGTTCTTCCCCTCACATTACCCACGCTGTCTGGTCTGCCAGCGCACTGCAACGATGCAAAGCATTACATCTACGTCAAACCACATGCGCCCAGCATACCCACCGCCGATGACGAGCGCAGCCTCTTCGTCGCAAACATACCCATCGATGCCTCCGAGCGCAACATCCGCGCGCTGTTCCAAGAACAGTTAGGCGGCTCCATGGTCGAGCGCGTCGAGTTCGATGCCTCGGTCCCCGCGCAACCAATGCACAAGCGCAGGAAGAGCGACAAGCCTACGACGCAAGACGACTCAGCTACCTCGAGAGGCAAGAAGAGGAAGAGGACCGATGACGCGGCGGTGATAGCAGAGGGTGTGGTGGAAGACGCCGAGAGCGCGCTACCACGGTTATGGAACAGCGAAGTACGAAAGAGCGGGAGCGGCGCCGTCATTGTCTTCGTAGACAAGAAGAGCGCGAGGGGAGCTCTGAAGGAGACTCAAAAGGCCGCAAAAGAGGGCAGAAGCATATCATGGAAGGGAGGAGAAGGACTAGGCGTTGAGCGTAAGTCTCCACAGTCCCCTTACACTCATTTTACGTCTAACCCAAAAACAACAGGCTACAAATCCCACAACTCCCTCATCTACCCCACCCCCACCCTCCTCCAAGCCTCGCTAAACGCCTACCTCTCCCAATTCAACGCTCTCGAAACAGCGCGAAACCGTATGCGCAAGACATCCCGATCTGTTCCTGACGAGGAGGGCTTCATGACGGTTACAAGAGGCGGCCGTGTCGGGCCGGCTAGGTTGGATGAGGCGGAGAAGAAGAAGGCTGAGTTGGATGAGCGCAAGAGGAATCATAGGGCTACGGATGACTTTTATAGGTTCCAGAATAGGGAGAGGAGGAAGGAGGCTGAGGGGTTGCTGAAGAGGAAGTTTGAGGAGGATAGGAGGAGGGTGGAGGGTATGAGGGAGAGGAGGGGGAGGGTTAGGCCGGAGACGTGAGGACTGGATGTGTGGTGGGCGTGTGATGAAGACTTTCCTTCGGGGAAGTTGCTATATATAAGTCCTTGGAGTGCAGCTGCACGCCGTTGTGCCACCCGATGAAGTTTTCACTGAACTGTTCTCTTCAAATCACGACTCGCTCGGCATGGCACAATTGTGAAGTAGATGAAATCAATACATTGATCCATGGTCATAAACTAGCACTCGTAAAACTCAACACAACAAAGGAAATAGCAACCCAATCTCGAATCTTCCCTTGAAGAAAGAGACACAAGTGTGCGCAAACCAGCGACCTAAGTCATCCCATTCCCGTTCCCATATGCATTCCCATTCGCAATTCCACCACTCATCTCTTCATCTTCCCCTCCCCCTGGATTCTGTCCAGGTAGTGTTTTCGTCTGAAAACAAGCTTTGTTCAGCCGACGACTCCCGGTCTTACTCCCACTCCTGCGAAACTGGCACAGAGAGATCGATTGCGATCCTTGAGTTTGGCCGCCTTCTATCCCATTGAAGACACAATCGCCTTGCTTGTTTGATGATTGGCATTCGCGCAGAGGAATTGCCAATGGAAGTGCGTGATGCGGCTCGGTGTTTGCAGAAGAGCGGACATGGTTGGCACCGCAGGTCTGGTCTTTCCGATTGTCCAAGTAGTCGTCGTCGAGGCCGTTCAGCATCTGCTGGACTGCATTGCTGCTCTTGCTATTCCCATTTGCAGCAGCGATTGGCATAGACGGTATACCTTGATCAGATTCCGTATGCACCTTCTCCCAGACTAGTGCTGAGAGACCGCGAGGGAAGGTTTCGGAAGCCTTGAGCGTGTTGCACTCCCAGTACAACTGTTCACCCAAGTGAAGGAAGCGTCGACTGAGCAGGCGGTCTTGTAACGCCCATGCACGTGTATCCCAGCCGAAGTTGGGTGTAGTCAGGATGCCAGCTGGCAGCAAGGCAGAAGCCGGCTGTCGACCTGGAGTCGGGCTTGTGCTGTTTGCTGATCCAAGTAAGGACGCTGGGTAGTTCTTTTCAGGTATGCCCGACATGACCGCTTCGCCGGTCAACTGGTCAAGTACGACTGTCAGTGCTGCGTTACGGAAGGTGGACGCCATCCTCGTGCACTCTTGTTGCTTGTCTTCTTCCGAATCTTGAAGCACACATAGTGAATCTAGCCAGCAATAGTTGTGGCCCAGGCGATGTGCTGTCGCAATCGCATTCGCGACTGTCATCGGGAGTGTTCCCAGAGGCAGCTCACTTCGCATGCTCAACAGCGTGCTGCTGGAGAGTACTGGCTGGTTGTCGCCCCATACGTAGCTCAAGGCGACATATTCGGTAGACGACTTCAGGCTGTCGGTCTGAACAATTCTCGAGCGAATTGCATCACCCGGACTTCCCGGAAGAATCTCGATCAGACGTGTGGGTAGGTTGCTGGCATCGCGCTCTGCTGTATGGTGACAAGCTTCGTGAGTGTGTGTACACTCGTCTAGCCAGATCTTCGCATTGCAAAGACTAGGCTCTGACTCGGTGCTGTTCTTGCCGTGAGCGTGGGAATGGCAGCAGGTTTCGTCGCCGCCTTGGTGAGCAAGCGTCTCTACTCCGCCGAGTTCCTCTTGTGGGCCAGGGTATGTCGCCTTGTCGTTCGGCCAGTTGAGACAGCATGGTGCGGGAGTAAAGATCATGGTCAATGATCGTGCGTCCGGCCGCTCATCTGGATCGGCATTCAACATGGTCTGAAGCGTACGCACAACGGTCTGCTCCGTCGTAGTATTTGCCTCAGCCAAGAATGCGGCAAGCTTGTCTTGTATACCGGAGACGTCCTGCCAGTAGTGTTTGCCAGTACGACCGCTGAATGTCTTGCGGAAAGCTGACCATCCCGTGTTGCCTTGGCTGAATGATACAGACGCCATTTCGGCGAAGACACAACCAAGACTCCATATGTCAGCTGCCTGCTTGCGAGTAAAGCCCTCAAAGACTTCAGGGGCGATGTATTGGCGTGTTAGCGGCTTGCGCTGGTCGTCGCCCACTTCTTCTGCGGAGCTGACACCAAAGTCGCTGAGCACGACGTGTGGGAATTCCTGATCGCCTTCTACGATCAAAATATTCTGAGGCTTGATGTCCATATGCTTGACAACAGGTCGCTGCTCGTGGAGATACCTCACTGAGGAGGCAAGACAGCCAAACATCTTGGTAATAGTCTCTGGCAGGTTGGCAGGCTTCTGCAGCGCTGTTCGCTGGAGCCATCCTGCAAGCGTTGTCTCCGCAACGGGTGAGAGGAGGATCGACATCTTGTCGCCTCTAGAGTAGGCCCCAAGGAATCGAATTATGTGAGGGTGGCGAAGCTTCTGAAGAACGCTGACTTCCTTCTTGAGCTCCGCAATCGCGGTCTGGTCACGGTTCTTGAGTGTCTTGCGACCGACGTGGAGTCCCGTCTGCTGATGCACGACTTCATCGACTGTACTAAAGCCTCCGGAGCCCAGAAGCTTGACACTTAGGAATGACGTCGTTGATGGACGCATTTCTGTCCTGAATAGTGTCATGGCTGCATTGTCTTGAGTGGACGTGATTGACTTCGTATCCAATGATGCGTCGGAAGGCTGGATATCTGGATACTCTGGGCTGGAGAGAGGTGCGGCGGATGACCCTGGAGCAGCAGCGGCTACATCAGCCCTGGAATACTTCCAATGAGGGTGTTCTGATAGTCGAGCATCCGTTCGACTGCCTGAGGATGAGTTGAGGAGTACACTCCTCACGGACTGGGAGAGCACATCGCTGGCCAGAGCATTCTTGTGGTTTTCCTCTGTAGCAACGTGGCTGTTTTGCAGTAGTTGCTGATCGGTCGTTTCAGGTGAGATCGATGACTGAGAGATGTTCGGCGAAAGTGTAGTGGGTTTGATAAGTTGGTCCGCACAATACAACTGGCTCTCACCGAGTTGTGAGAGCTGGAATTGGAAGAATCCGCCGCTTGATGACTGGCCTGCAGAACCGCCGCTGCCGCCCGAGCCAGTATGTTTGGAGCCACCGTCACCCTGAGGATGGAAAGGCGGTTGAGGGGAAGGCTTGCCACCGAAGCCGCCATCGCCTGGCCCGTCGTCATTGTCGTCGTCTGCGGAATTGAGGCTGTCGTTGTCTTCCTCGTCGCGCCAGTCAAGCATAGTTTTGCCTTGCTTGAAGTGATCCGCAATGTGATCTATTCGTTCTTGTCTCGTCTCGAAGCGATGTCGGCAAAATCCACACTTGCGTGGGAATTCGGTCTCGGAGTATACGGTGCTGGCCTCGTCGAAGTCCTCCGCGTTCATCTCAGGGTGGATATTGCGGAAATGCTGGACAAAGTGGTACTTTCTGAAGCACGGTCGAACGTTATCGACACCCCCGACTGTACACAGGCTGCAGACCCATGATTTGCATGGGTAGCCTTCTTCCTCATTCCGCTTCCAGTCATTCTTACGGCCATACCGCTTGCCGCATTTCCGAGTGCACTGGTAAATTTTTCTGGGATCCCTACCGAGCAACTCCAGGTCTTCAGTAGGCGTGCACCGTTTCTTACCCCGTGTGGTGGCTGGCTGTACGGTGACGGTAGTGTTGTCGCAATTTGGTGACGAGCCGGGGGTAACAGTCTCTCCGAGTGCTTGTTGTATAGTGTTCCCGAAAGCAGTGTATGCCCCCGAAAGCTCTGTTTGGTACGTCTGATCATCCCAAAAGAGTTCCGGCTGCTTCTGTTGCCGGTCTTGTTGGATGAGTGCCGTTTGGGACTTGTAGGCCGAATCGCTCTGGTTGCCACCCATGCCCTGCTTCAAGAGCTGACCGAACCAGCTTCGGATGGCATCTGCAGGCTCACCGGTGAGCTGGCTCAGTGAGTCGATGTGCCTATCGCTTTTGAACTATTAGCATTGATGAACATTACTCTGGTCTTATAAACACGTATGCGCTACATGATATCGAAGCTAAGGAGGAAGTCGCCAGCCAGTGGAATACATGAGAGTGTGCATGACTCGGAGATGACCACGAAGCACAGCTCCGCGCACCCCATAAATGCATGGACAGACTTCCCTCTGGCCGTGGTATCCGTCTGACTGAACAATCTTGGTCGGAGGGTCATGAGCTTACCTGGGCAGCACATTGTATTTATGGAACCACGTTGCGCAGACATCGGCTGCTTCATCTGGAAGTCCTTCTACGGCCACGGGCGGGGTCGCCTCCAGACCCCAGCTGGATGTCGTCGTTGCAGGAGGTGTTGGGAATAATGGGAAATCAAAGCTTGCGTGACGCTTAGACTGAGGGTAGTCCTGCGTCTCAAGCTGCAGCGGCCGCTTGCCAAGCGCATTGAACTGCGTAGGCATGGCATCAAATGAGTGAAGTGGTGTAGGTGGGTAGGCCTTCGCGGTATGTTGGAGCTGCATATCAGGTGTGAGCTGTGCCATCCATGCTGGGGTCGCCGAGGTGTCATCCAAGGTCTGCCGCATGGTTAGCAAGTACGCGATATGGCGAAATGAACAATCAGCTTACCAGACTTTGTTGCATTGTGCACTGCTGAGCGTTGGTTTCGAATACAGCCGGATCAATGAAAGATGATGATGCGGAAGTATCGATACCCTCGTCAGCGAAGAAGAAGCCAGAAGTGTTATCCGCTGGCGTGTACGACTGCTGCTGCTGCGGCGTCGCGAACATGTTGCTGAAATCCATGTTGGTGTCAAAGGCGAAACCTGCGCCCTGATGGTCCATGACTATGTGTGGTGTATTTGTCAGAGGGCGTTCAATTTCGTCGTAGGAGACGGTTAGCAATCACGGGCTCAAAGAAAGAGCGTGAGCGAAAATGATAGAAAGTGAGTGTTCAGGAGCCTGAGGCTTGTCGCTCAGTATTTTAGATCAAAGGGCGCTGCGCCCACGAGTGTTGCAGTCGCTTTCGGAGTCATCCACGCAGCCCTTCAGCTCTGGGAAAGGGCGATGGAGATCCGAGGTTTAGGCAACCGGTCAGACGATTAGTGGGGATTCGCGGTAACTTTACGACCCCGCCAAGGCGGTCGTTCGAGACACGATTGTGGCCTTGGAAAACCTGCGGGATTTGGTAAACCTCCTCAATCTTTCCAGTCGCCTATAATTCCTCAAGGTGTGTGCAATGTAGGTAGTGCGAAATAGTGATGATGTTCGGACCCGTCGTAAAGTTCAGTGTCGGGGTCGAAAAGAAACGGCCGCACATTCGTAAGCGCTAATTTGCTGTAACGCCCTTTTCTCGCTGGGCATCCAGATGGGGTTAGCCGAAAGTGGGGCGTGTGGCTGAGCTGCAGAAGATACGGAGAACGCGAACTTGATTTCACCCCCATATTGAGGGTAAGCTGCCCTCTTGACAATGTGCTATTCACTAGGATCGCATACTCATCCCTGGACCTACATAGCTTCTGCTCTAGCGAAACGCATGTACACTAGTCAGTCGATATGCAGCCAACCTCGAAGCTGAACCACCCTCGCATCGCTTTCGATGCTTTGTCTGGGTCAATGTGAACATAGAAAAAAAGTCGAAGTGTGTGAAAGCCGCAACGGCGCCTATAGTTGCGGGCAGAGTTGGAGATGATGGACGCCATCTCTGCTGTTTTATGGCAGGCGCTTGCTCTCGCATCATAGGATATAATCTTGATAGCTTAAAAAGGAACATGAGTGGCTTGGAATCTTTTGTAAAATTGTTCATGTGGTATCATTGAAAATTATCTACGTTCATGAAAGGAAGGATCTATTAGCCTCGTATCATCATCATTCTCTTCCCATCACGCCTTAGAAGGCAGCCATTTGGTTAAGCCCAGCAGTCTCGCGCTCAAAGTTCTTGTGTTGCGAGATGCTGAACAGGTACGCGCTGGTGAAGTCCTTGGCCTCCTTGGCCATGTTGACAGCCTCCTTGAAGCTATCGGCGTGAACCTGACCAGCAGTGACAACACCATAGCTGTTGACAACATCAGCAGCAGCCGAGAACTCCATGCCGGGAAGGTCGACGGCCTGCTTGATGAACGACACGCCTTCGCCGGTAGCGCCGATCGCCTTCAAGTGACCGAAAGCTTCGCGGATCCAGTGAACAGCGCGGCCATTCTTGCGCAGGGTCTCGATGGACTTGGCGCCACCAGGCACGAAGACACTGTCGTACATGGTGGAGCGCTGGCCCTCAAGGTGGTGGTCTGCTACAACGCCGGAGCCGCTCTTGTCCTCACCTTCGGCGAAGATCTTGTTTCTCCTGGGAGAGATGGTGAAGGGAAGGGCGCCGGCAGCGGTCAGGGCGGCCTTGATGCCGTTGTAAGCGACCTTGTCGTAACCATCAGCAATGAGAATAGCGACCATGCGGGTGGCAATGGTAGGCTTCTCGGGCATGAAGTCCATTTGCGATAGACCCTTGGCCTTCTTGTTGTGCTTGGGGCGAGTTTGTTGAGTGGGCACATCGCTACCAACCATCTCCGCAACAGTCTGAGCAAGCTCAAGATCGATCTCGCAGAGACGCTCACAGAGGCGCTTGTAGACCACAGGGTCGTCGCAGTGGTCGAGCTCAAAGGCAAAAGCGTCCTTCATGTGCATCTTCTCGTTCTCCGACATGGAGTTGTAGAAGAGCTCGGCCTGGTTCTTGTGCTCCCTGAACTTGCTGCTCTGCATGCGAGCCTTGATACCGGCGGTCTTCTCTGGGTAGTCGATGTAAGCACCCTCCTTCTCGGTGGCAGGGGGCACGGTCTGGTAGCGGTTAGGCCAGTAGTTGACCTTGCCCTTGGTGATGGTGTGGCGCATGGCACCGTCACGGTTGAAGTTCATGACGGGGCAAACTGGCTTGTTGATTGGCAATTCTTCCCAGTTAATACCCAGACGAGAGAGCTGAGTGTCCTGGTAGGAGAAGTTGCGTCCTTGTAAGAGAGGGTCGTTACTGAAGCCGATACCAGGGACAATGTGGCTTGTGCAGAAGGCGACCTGCTCAGTCTGAGTGAAGAACTCGTCGGGGTTCTGGTTCAACTCGAGCTGACCAATGTATCGGATAGGCACCAGCTCCTCAGGCCAGACCTTGGTAGCATCCAGAATGTCAAAGTCGAAGTCGTGCTCGCGAGACTCTGGGAGAACTTGGATACCAAACTTCCACTTGGGGTAGGCGCCGCTCTCGATAGCCATCCACAAGTCCTTGCGGTGGAAATCAGGGTCTTGACCAGCTATCTTGAGTGCCTCGTCCCACACAAAGCTGTGTACACCGAGCTCGGGTGTGAAGTGGAACTTGACAAAGCTCCTCTCGCCCTTGGCGTTAACGAGTGTGTAGGTGTTGACACCGAAACCCTGCATCATGCGGTATGAGCGGGGGATGGTACGGTCGGACATGGCCCACATGAACATGTGCGTCGCCTCTGGGTGCATGTACTGGAAGTCCCAGAAGTTGTTGTGTGCAGTTTGTGCCTGGGGGATTTCGCAGTCAGGCTCTGGCTTGCCGGAGTGAATGACATCGGGGAACTTCATGGAGTCCTGGATGAAGAAGACGGGAATGTTGTTGCCAACGATGTCCCAGTTGCCCTCCTCTGTGTAGAACTTTACGGCGAAACCGCGAACATCGCGCACGGTGTCTGCGGAGCCACGGCTACCCAGTACAGTGGAGAATCGTAGGAAGACGGGGGTCTCGCGCGATGTGTCGGTGAGGACGCCAGCTGAAGTGACGTCTTCGGCCGACTCGAAGAGAGTGAATTTTCCGAACGCGCCGGAACCACGGGCGTGGACAACACGCTCGGGGATGCGCTCGTGGTCGAAGCGGTGAATCTGACAATGTTACTACTCGGTCTTGGTGGCCAGGTCTGGTCTGCATACCTTCTCACGAGCGAAGTGGTCCTCCAAAAGGGAGGGGCCGGTCTGGTCATCGGTCGCCACCTTCAGCCAGTCGTCGGTGTTGTTCTGCTTGACACCGAAGTCGCTGGTGATGCGCCACTTGTCGTCGTGTACATCCTTGGTGACGGCTGCGAGCTGGGCCATTTTGCCAGTCTTCTCGCCGGTGAGGCCCTTGGCCTTCTCTGCGACGTTGCCTATGATTTCGGACGCCATTTTGTCGAGTGTGCAAAGATTGAGTCGATTGGCGATGTCAATCGGTGTGGTGGCCGTTTGCTGCGCGCGCCGCGCCCGTCTTTGTACTGCCGGGACTGTTTACTTTTCGACGTCATAGCGACGTGTGTTCGCTGCACTTCGGCTTGGAGTTGCCTAATGCCTCTACCGCACAGCTCCATCAGGACAGCGACTGCGTGTTTGCGACGCGCTTGAAAGTGGAGTCTGTACAGTCCAGCCAATGGCAAAGAAGATGATGTTCGATCATCGTGATTGAACGTCTGCATCGAGTGCCGAGCGATGCCGATGTGCCACGCGAGACTCAACTTTGCCATGTACCCGGCAGCTAGCCCCTGCCATTCGAGAATCGCATGCTGAGAAATGGCCTTTGCTGAAGCCCATCCTTGAACCCGCCACTACATTTTCTTTCTAGCGAACCAAGACCGAGTCGTCCGCGAGTGTGAAAATTGCCGTTGCTCGCAAATATCCTGCTGTGACGTCAATGATGGAAAACCGTTAAAAGGCCCACGTGTGGATGCCCCGCACCGCCCCCACCAGCTGCATGTGCCAGGACAGATCATCACGATATTCTGGGCTGCGACAGCTTCAGGCGCGAAGGGAGGGTGTCGCAAGAAGAAGGTCCAGATTATTGAGGGCGACGAAGACGAGTTCTCAGGCTGCGTCGGGCTACGCATGGTCCGGCACATAAGCTTTCGCACTCGCTCCTGGCTCCTAAACCCTATCGCATCTTCCCCGACAAACTTTCCTAGAGCTAGCAACTCACCATTAACGCCGGACACTACGACGACCGTTGGCTTGCGTGCGAAACGCACATCCGCCGCGTGACCTGATCTTGGCGAACCGCGAAAGCCGGATGACTACGCGTCTATAGCCACACATAACGTCCGGAACTTTTCCTGGATCAATGCTCGCTTTGCAGCTTCATGCAACTCGAGTAGGCCGCTCTACGCTAATGCCGGGGTTGCTTTTTCGCACAGTAGGCCACTGGATTGCGAAGCGTTGATAGCGCGCTTCACAAAATCATCTGCTAGCCCATTTTGCACAGCGTGTATATGCGACTGGCTTATCTCCAAAGTCACGATGTGTTGACGCTGATCTATGTTACTTGCCGATGGTGTTTCGCAAATTAGTAGCAGCAAATGGTCTTGCCGCATCCTGCATCCGCCATGAGCCGTGAAGTTCCGGACAATCCTTCCGCCAATGAACCACGAGTACGTTTTGCAGTGGTTAGCATTGCCTGCTCGGTCGCTTTGCCTGATGATCGACAGGCATTGTGCGTGTCAATTGTACCTTGCATCTATACCGAAGGCCTCCGCGGCTTCCGGAAGTTACAGTTGTCAAACGGCGGAAAAACTCTCTCGTCGGCATTTTGGCAATGGAACCGGTACGTCAGTAGCCTAAGCCTCGCTTTCGCTTAGAGGGCTGATATGAATGCGAGCATCCAAATTATATCTTATCATATCAGTGAACTAACCGTTGGCTTGTGCTAAGGCAGGCACTTTCGATATAACCCTTATGTCGTTCATGTTGTCGTTGCCTGAAAGGGTGCGCAAAACGCCCGTTTGGCCGCTTTTCTAAGTATTGATGATCTGCTGCTAACCCCACAAGCTTTATCGGTTTCAGTGTCCAATGCTTTCGAGTACGGATATAGATGAGCAACATTTATG